TCCTCTCACCTCGGCCTCCCAAAGTAGGCAACTTAGCTTTTTTAGACATAAGGGAAGTTTCCATTGAAACTGAGATAAAAAATAAAATTTACCTATTAAGAAGAGAATTAAACTAAGTTTTAAATATCATCCCCTTCTTCACAAAGTTGGTCTAGTTTTACTCTGAATGAATGTTATTCCTGAGCAAATAATGATTAAAACTACTTCTGTGGAATTTTTGGATGCTGGAGCATTATAAGGTTATATGTGTTTTGTTTGCATAGTTTCACAAAGGAAGAGCAAGTACTACAGAGAAAATTATAAAGAGTGCACAAAAAGTTATTTAAAAGATAAATGCTTATTATTTTTTTCCTTCATCATCCTTATTTAGGAAAAAAAAAGTAGAGAAGCCTAAACTAATTGAACCTTTCTCATCTATGTACCACATACAAATCCTATTGTACTTGGTATCCTTCAGGCTAACTTGATTTCAGAAACTTGAAAGTTCAGCTCGACCTTGGTCCAACCAACATTGTTATAATAGTTTCGTTTACCTTTGAGATTAGCACATGGATATGGGATAGAGAGATCTTCATTGAATAAGAACTGGGGCCAGGCATGTTGGCTCAAGCCTGTAATCCCAGCACGTTGGGAGGCCAAGGCGAGAGGCTTGCCTGAGCCCAGGGGTTCAAGACCAGCATGGGCAACTTGGTGAGATGTCACCTCTACAATAAATAAAAAAATTAGCCGGGCATGGTGGCACATGCTGGTAGTTCTAGCTTATGTGGTAGGTTGAGGTGGAAGGATCGCCTGAGCCCAGCAGGTCAAGGCTGTGGTGGCTGTGAGTATGCCACTGCACTCCAGCCTGGGCAACAGAGTGAGACTCTGACTCAAAAAAACGGAAAAAAAAAAAAACTGGGAAGAATGTTAGAGGTAATCCTGTTCAACCAAAGTGAGTTACAGCTGTTCATTAGATGGACTGTTCTATTAGTTGGCACCTCTATGAAAAATGCAGGTGCTATAAAAATTTGAAATTTTAAAACTCCCCCCTATTCTTGGTTCTATCCTTGAAATTACATAGAACAAATTACTCCTTCCCCATGACAACCTTCAATTATTTAAAGATAGTTGTTATATATTTAGCTTTCTCTTAATGAGACTTAACATTCTATTGTTTTTGCCAGGTGCGGTGGCTCATGCCTATAATTCCAGCACTTTGGGAGGCAGAGGCGGGAGAATTGCCTGAGCTCAGGAGTTCGAGACAAGTCTGAGCAATATGGCCAGACCTCGTCTCTACAATAAATCAGAAAATTCAGCCAGGTATAGTGTGGCCCATGTCTGTGGTTCCTCAGCCTTGGGAGGCTGAGCCAGAAGGATCACATGAACCCTGCAGATCAAGGCTCAAGTGCCCTTGAGCATGCCACTGCACACCAGCCTGGGTGAGAGTTATACTCCAACTCAAAAAAAAAAAAAAAAAAAAAATAAGGCTTAACATTCTATTGTTTTCATATGTAGACTAAGTGAGTTTCTTTTACACAAAGGGGCTATATGTCTTTTGTATTGTGTATTGCTTAAGTTCATAAATGGTAAATTTTTTCTTATTGACTGCAAGTTTTCATTAAGTGTCAGACCCTAGTTTTGGTATCTTTTTTTTTTTTGAGTTGGAGTCTCACTCTGTTGCCCAGACTGGAGTGCAGTGGCCGATCCCGGCCACCGCAGCCTCAACCTGCTGGGCTCCGGCGATCCTTCTGCCTCAGCCTTCCGAGTAGCCAGAATTACAGGCGTGCGCTACCACGCCCAGCTAATTTTTTGATTTATTGTAGAGATGAGGTCTCACCTGCCCAGGCAGGTCTCGAACCCACGGGCTCAGGCAGTCCACTCACCTCAGCCTCCCAAAGGCGCGAGATTACAGGCTGAGCCACTGAGCCCGGCTTGCTATCTTTTTATTTTTATTTTTGTGACTGAATTTTTAAAGAACCTGTAGGAAGACAGGATGTAAGCAAATGTTGCTTGCAAATTATTTTTCTTCAGGCAGTGGGTAAAACAAATGATACCCTGATAGTTCCATTTCTATACTGGCTTAAATTATCACCTCGAATTTTAACTATTTTACTCAATAAAACATTTATTTCTGTAGAACATATTTATTTACCACAATCACGTTTTAATATTTTTTCTAGAGATATCCAAGTCTAGCATAGTTTTACATAAGTTGTTGCTTATTGGGCTCATAATTGTGTTTACAGTTTTTTGTTTTTGAGTTGGAGTCTCTCTCTATTGCCCAGACTGGAGTGCAGTGGGTATGCTCACGGCCACCCCAGTGTCAACCTGCTGGGCTCAGGTGATCTTTCTGCCTCAGCCTTCCAAGTAGCCAGAACTACAGATGCATGCTACCACACTCAACTAATTTTTTTTTATTTATTGTAGAAATGAGAGTCAAGTTGCTCGAACCGTTTTTAAACCCGTGGGCTCAGGCAACCTCCTTATCTCGGGCTCCCAAAGTGCTCAGATTACAGGCTTGAGCCACCACACCTGGCCTCTAAAGTTTTTTGACATTGAAATCTGTTTGGCAATTGAAATACCGAGCTCTGTTTTGTCACAGTAACAGGTTTATCACTTGTCACTTTCTGCCAGGTTTTTAAAAGAACAGTCAGTGGATGTGCTCAGATTCCATGTGGAGAGAAAGAGAGAGAGAGAGAGAGAGAGAGAGAGAGAGAGAGAGAGAGAGTGTGTGTGAGTGTGTGTGTGTGTGTGTGTGTGTGTG